CTATCGGAACCACAGTCATCTCGTCAACAAAACAGAATTAATACACCTACTTCAAGGACTGTTGATGATTAAATAGTAGAGATGAATGCGTTTGGTTACTTATAACAGTATAAAATATTAACTATGATTATATGGAACTCCCATTTTTGTTTCTTCTTTGGGAACAAAAATAACTTGAAAGTGTATAAAATTATTGGTTGCTCCAGCTAATTAGAAATGAGAGACACTGCATCTCTTTTTACTACCCTGGTTCTAATATAGCTTTGTTTGTCACATGACTGTCTTAAACTCGGTTACTCTGCTGAGAGTGCAAAATCGCCAAGTGGGGGAGCGGCGGTGAGGTAACGTTTCCAGAGGAAAGCATTAAATTAAATTATTAAACACACACAAGGAGGAGTAGTAATGTAAAAATTCTGAAAGATTCACAAGGAAAGGCAGGAGAGCCAAGGGACTATTTCTGGTGTTCTGACTCTAGAAAACGCCAAGTGGCTATCATGGCTATTTATTAACCTGCAACATCATAAACCGTAACCCTATTAAATATGATGAATGAGTCCTAGGTTATGATTTTTAAATACCACTTCATAGGAACTTGAGAAGGCCAAACTGGTGGTGTGGAATACAAAGTCTATGGGCAAATGGTGATGATGTGATTAGATGCAATTATGGCAAAAACGTGAAATGATGATGGAAAAAGGAATTTAGAATAAAGAAAACACATTTACTTAAATGCTGCCCCATCAGTCTGAAATAGACTTCCTGTCATCATATGGGCCGCACTGAACCACCATGGGAGGCCAAGCGTTCTGTAGGACTGGCCCTGCCTCATGAGGCACCTTTTGCTGTGCATTCAGCACTCAGAAAAAGTCTTTCCCGCATGTCATGAGAACCCTAGTGAGAATTAGAAAAAAAGGCATCTTTTGCTCCAAGCCATAACCTTCACTGCTTGGAGAATCAAGAGTGATTTTGTCAAGGAATTCTGGAGGCAGGGCGGGGGGCGGTCTTTGGTCCTTTTAAGTGTTTTCAAGGTATGGTAAGAGGCTTCCATCCTCTTTAGAGAATGGAACTTTTTGTTTTTATCTACTTGCTATAATTGTTGTACTTCAGCTCATCTATCCTCAAGCTTAAAAAAAAACAATTCAGCACCGTTTATGGAAGAAGAAAAAAAGCTCTTCCTACCTTCTCAGTAAACGTACTTGTGCTTGCTTTCCTGATGAATCAGGGAAGTTCCAGGAACCTGCTTTAGGATTGTTGAAGGGCACTGATCTGCTCTTTTGGGGACTGAGGAAAGCACACCAGGATGGCAGGGGGCTCCCCTCTCCCTGGTCCTTACCTAGGCCCAGACTACCCCTGGCCGTCTCTTTCAAGTCCTCTATAATCACCACTTAACACTCTGCTCCATTTATCACTTTGTTTTTATCACAGGCAAATAAAAAGAAAAGGCTTTTACTTTCTACTTCTCAGTGGCTTGCTAATCTGTCACACTGTGTCTTCAGTTTGGGTACAGCCTTGTGTTTGCAGAGGAAAATGGTGAGAAACCCTCAGTAAGAGAAGCTTGACTACTACGATCCCTGCCCTCCCTCCAACAAGGGAAGGATAAATTTTAATATAACCATGAAAGGAGAAAAAGAGTTAAGAAAGAGGGTTTAGCTGAAAACCAATGAGGATAAATGGTGAAAAGAAGCCACTTTGAGGCACAACAGCCTAGTGAGTGTCTCTTTAAAACAAGCAGCTAAAAATGCTTTCAACCAAGCAATACCATAAATGTCCTGCTGCTTTCTTGGCTTTCAGATTCTTCCCCGTACTTTCCATGAGCATTCCACTGGGAATTGTCTGGAATCCCAGATTAAAACAGCAATAACCCAACTCCCTTGTTCGAATATTTATTTTCTTTTAGGTTTGGAAACTCAGCTGGGATGCATCTTTAAGTACACAGCATAGCCTAAACCGTCCTAGGGGCCACATGAGATATTTCTCGAACAGGTTGTTGGGCAGCCGAGTCCTGCAGCGGGAGAGGAAGGAGGGTATTTCAGCCTCATGTGGAAAGCCCCAGCTGCCCACAAACAGCAAGAGCCTGGGAACCTCCACTTTCAAAGGATTCATTCCAGATGTCAGAGCTAATGGTGTCAATGTGGGGTTCATGCAGATTACCAAGGAGGTTCCTAAAGTCAGGCTGCCACAGAGTAGGCTTTCAAGCAAAATCATCCCCTTGACCTGGAGCCATCATCTGACAACTTAATATATTCTAAGGTTGGCAGCAATATGATACAGTTCTGTATCTCATAATTACCTATGTGGGGGATCCATCCACCTATCTATCCATCTATCCATCCATCCGTCTATCCACCCACTCACCCACCCACCTAATGGAGCAAACCATTCAATAACTGATTGACTACGAGAATACCAATCACTTAGGACAGATTGTTAGACAGATTCTAGCCATAAACCAATGCTATGGCCACATCAACGAAAAATGGCTCAAAGTCAACTCTGAATTCATCCATCCATCCGAAAATATTTATTGAACAAACATTGTGGCATAATAGAGAAGAACTTAAACTTTGGAGTCAGATAGAATTTAATTTGAATCCTGACTTTTTCTCTTACTAACTGTGTGACCATGGCAAGTTGCTTAAATTCTTGAAGCCCTAAATTCCTTATGCGTTTTATGGATATAAAAATATCAACCTTACAAATATTGCTGTGAGAATTAAATACAATAATTTACATAAAGGACTTCACATAGTGCTTGGTACAAGGCAATCCACGATAAATACTAGCCATTATGATTGTGTGCTAGGCACACAGTAGGTCCTGGCAAAACAGGGGTAAGCAGCATGGCTGTGGCTCAATGAGAAAACTGTCTACTCCTGAAAAATTTAAAGTTTTGGTATGGAAGGAACAGTTCGAAGTGGGGAGAATGATTCCTTGGGTGGGAACTCCTTGGGTGGAAGAAGGCTGTTTATGTTCTCTTGTCCAGTCAGAGTGTTGTACGGTAGGAAAACTTGGTATTATAATGACTGATTCACAGTCAAATAGGTGGTTTAACAGCAGAACTAGTTAAGAATTAAGATCTCCTGGCTGCCAGTTTGGTGTGTAGATTAGTTTGTTTTACCAAAATAACTTCTTATGGAGAGGCAGTTCTACAGTCAAAGAGCTTGACACATGCCAAGGCATCCAGAATCGAACCAGGAATTAGGGTTTCCTTGGAGGGCTGTTTCAAAACATAAGAATAAAAAGCTATGAAAGAAACAGCGGCCCATTTGGGACAAGTGTTTGTAATTCTTTCCTCTCCGTACCCGGCAAGGAGTTTGGTGCTTTGCTCACTTCTGTATCCCCAGCCTCCAGAAGAGTCCCTGGTACAGCATAGGTAATCAATAACTATTTGCGAATGAAGAAAGAACTCGATTAGGGAGTAGGAGCGTTTTGCATCTGTGGCATGAATGAGTTCCATCCTGAAGCAAATATAGGACAGCTTCTGAAGAAAAGATGCTATTACCTGGCTGTGGTTTCTTTTGCAATCCTGTTTGCTGCCGTGGTACCAAAACACTCTAGTTCACTGAGGGCAACAGTGCCTGCAGCTGTGACCCTGGCACCTTTACAGTCCCAATCTCATCTTTAAAAGTTCACTGTGGAGAAGATGGTAGAGTGGAATGATGCCTCGTACCCCCTGGCCTAAGAGAAGCTGGACTGTGCTGAGCCCAATCCGTAGCAACTCCGTAACTAGTGATGAAATCAGTAAACTGGAGGAGAGGAAGAGTCCTCATGGTCCCCAACTCCTTGCCAAAAGCACAGCAATCACCCTGACTGTGGGTGACTGACCAGCAACGCTCCCCCAGCACCTCCCGGCATTGGTCATCTGATCCCCTAAATTATCCCAGAAAGAGAAGAGAGCAGTCTGTGTCCTCTGCCTCCTATTGTTCTCCACTTTCAGCAGGCAACCTTCTGGCTCCTGAGGAGAGATGGAACAAGAGGAGGATAACCTGGGGAGCATCACCTTGCCAGAAAGAGAGAGCAAGCACAATCGTGCCACTATTTAAGTTAATAGGAATCAACTAGGGAGGGCCAAGGTGACCCCCAGTGTCCTCCACAGCCTGGACTTCTGTTCTCGGGATAATGCTCAAGCCAGAGAACCTGGCATTTTCTTGGACACCGTGACCAGGGTGGGAATCAGGTGATTCATTTTCCCCAGCTGCCCCCATCACACTGTATCATCTGGGCTGGGTAGCGACACAGGAAAGACAAAAAAGGAAATGACAGGTGTTGAGTGCTTTGGAGCCTGGCCCCAGAAGCACAAGTGTGTTGGCCCCGATGCCCTGCCAAGTTGCAGCTGAAGCTTCAGACGGGGGAGGTGGTAGCGAAGAGGGGCAGAGAGGACTTGGGAGTGGAAATACCACACACTGACGGAAGCTGTGGAGGTAATGCAGGCACAAGAGAAGAAAGAGAGGAGAGCAGCAGAAGGGAGGGGGAGAGAGAGGCCATATCCAGGCGTACAAAACTTAGGAAAGAAAAGCAGCTGGCATGGAAAAGGCAGGAGGGGAAGGCCCTGTGAGGGCAGCAAGAGCACACAGCTTATCGGGCAAAGCAAGGGACTGAGTCTGACTCAGAAGCTGAGCAAAATTTAAGGCCTAAGAAAATATTAAAAGGGAGTTAGTGTGAGTTTAGGAAAACAGACAAACTGTCCCCCAAAATTTACCTCGCCTCTTAGATTTAGTTGACTCTGTCCTATATATTGCCCATTCCCAGATTTTGGGGCAACATATCCGACAGCCGGAACAAATACTCAGAAAAACAAGGGGCAGGAATCTCAAGGTTTTCAAAGCCGTTCTGGGGAGGAGGTGAAGTCATGTGCAAACACTCTCAGAGCCTGCCCCTCTCCAGCTTGAAGCCCTGCCCCTCCGGCCCCATGCTGTCAATCGTTCTGACCCTGTGGTCCCTCTGGACACCTGTCGGTCTGTCGGTCTGTCTGTCCCTGCCCCCGGCGCGCAGACACTCACGCAGGTGCGCGGGCAGGCGGATCGAGTCTTCCTCCATCCTGAGCGCTCGGGGCACTGGAACATGAAGTGGAGTCGAGGAAGCGTAACTCGGCACTGGGCTCTCGGGAGGTGTATATGAAATTCGCTCCTGCTGTTAAAAACAAGGGCAGGAAGAGAGGAGGGGGGAAAAGACAATGAACGCTTGGAACTGAGGTGCGAAATCAGGGAGAGGGGTGGCAGGGCACAGGGCCGGGGTGAGGGGATGCCTGAGCACTGGGCGAGCATCCTGCCTGCCCCTCGCTCGCTTGCATTTCAGATCTCCAGCTCTGGGATTTAGAACACAACTCTGGAAGGGTTTAAAATAGGGCTTTTCCTTTGGCCTCGGATCAATGTGTGTCCATTTTCTCTCTCTCACTGCACTAGTGGTTTTGCTAAAGTAAAGAGGGGAATCACGGTAACGGAAATGAAAAAGTATGTCCAAGAGAATGGCTTTAAAGACTACTCTCAAAAATGACTGTACCAAGTCACATAATTACTGTCACCAACACATTAAAACCACGTTTCCTCCTCTCTGGCAATATCCCCTGCTTCTAATCCAAGTGTGATCCTGTACTCAGATCCAATGGTGTGAGCTCAAAGTGATGGATTATAAATTCCATATTTAGTTAATAAATCTACGAGCAAGATTTTTCTATTACCTACCAATCTCATTGTACAACAATCACACAAAATACCTAATGTTTAATTTTTTTCTTCGTAGCAAGGAATATCTGTAACATTAATGGACAACTCCTTCATTCTCTATCTCAGAATCAGTATTTCCTTTTCTTCTGAACTATTTCAGAGATTCAAAGAATCATCTCCATTTAAGAAAAGTACTATTTAAATGAAAATCCTTACTTAACTGACCAGAAAAGTGCGGGGGGGGGGGCGGTGCTTCAGCAGATCCACGATTTAAACTCAAACACACAGTGTTTGATAGATCACTTAAAACAACTGGATGGGATGAGAAAGATTATTATTTGTCAGAAGTTAAAACATGGTAAATAATGGCAAGAAACTAACTATCCTGCTGGACCAGAAGAGCAGTGCAATTTGCATCTTAGATCTACATACTCACTAGTTTGATAACTTCCGTTAGTTTCTGTGGTTTAACTGGGTAAAGTAAAGTGGGACACACCGAGTCTAAAAATAGGCTGGGGGAAAAGATCAGTCAGATGCCATTATGAAAACAGAAATCAGGGGCAAAAGAAAAATCACGGATTAAAATAACGTGAAGGGGGTGTTTATGTTTCGGAAAGACAATTCTCTAACATTTTATATTTCATCAAGTGTGCAAAGGGAAGCAGGGGAGTCCCCTGGCCCTATAACCAAAGTAAAGTTTTTCTTCTGCTCATACCCTGGGAAGTTTGGTGGTTGTGGTAGGAAGTTTCGATTTTAAATGAATATATACATATTTTTGTAATTTCCGAATGGAATTGCTATACCTTCCCTGAGGCATCCTTTATCAGCAAATAGGGTATTTGGAATATATCTGTTTAAACATTCATCCTAAAGTTTCCTGGTGAATTTGTTAATTAAGGGCAGTCACATACATCCTAAATCTCATTTCTGTACAAATCAAGATGTTCTCTGAAAGGTCACCCAGAGGCGAAAATTTCAACTTCACTTTTCTTGAACTTTACCAAACATCACACATATTTTAAACAACTCTAAAGTAAGGATGAGTTATATTTTTTGTGTTTGATTTGGGGTTTTGTGGGTGAAAGAGGCAAAGCTATAAACACACATATGAGAAACACACAAAATCTGTTTAGGAGTTTTTTGAGGTGACACGGACTTTTAAAGCATTTTCAACAGTCTGTTTTTCTAGTGTAATAACTTCTCCACTTGCTTCAACCCTCGAATAAACCTCCCTTCCCAGTCCCAATATATATCTAGATATCTTATCTACCGTTAACTTCATTCCCAGAAATAGCTTTCTGTTTTGTTAGGGTTTTTTTTTTTTTTTTTTTTTTTTTGCAGAAGTGAAACTGTTGATGAAGAAAACATGGTACAGCCAAAGAGTTTTCAAATGGCTTGGCATGAGCACGAGAAAAAAAAGAAGACAGCATTTCCTAATACGATGACTTTCTCTTTAAAGCAAGGAGAAACACCCAAGATCCAGTGACAGCCCCTGTGCGTGCCAGGCCACCCCATCCCAGCTCCCTCATCCCTCACCAACTCCACTAAGGACAAGATGGGAGAAACCCAGTCTTCCAAGAGGATTTTACTTTATTTTTTTGAAAATTCACCTCTGGCCTACTTACAAAAGAGTCAATTAGGTACCACCGTAAAAATGTGTTATGTTCTGACTTGCTAAAGCACCACTGTGTTGTACCTTCATTTCAGTACTTTCTCTGCAGGCAACCCCCGCGTTTAAACTTCAGCATGGTCCCGCCCTTACTACTACATGGACTGCCACACTTCAGCACATGCCCTGGGACATTATGTCTCCCCCACACGTCCAAACAATTCTAGATGGAAACAGCTGTGTTATCTTATGATGAAACCTATAAAACAAGGCCAGAGACTGAGTGATTGTGGACCCTGAATTCCTGATGATGGTTTGAAGTCAGTGATATTTTAACACCCTAACCTTGGGATGGGAAGTTCTTTTTAAAAGGTTCATTGAGGAGAACCTTTTAACAACAGGGAGGGGGTACCTTGACCAAGAAGGGGAAAGCAAAATGCACTTCTAGGGCCTCCAGTGATTTGCTGACAGTCATTACCCACCTACTGTGTCCCTGGGCTCAGCCGCCAGCAGAGTACGCAGGGGACCCCGGAGAGAATGTAGCCCGGTGCCTGGGCCCCTTTCCAAAAGTATCAAAACATACACCTGGGAATCCTATGTCTTTTTGTTAATCTCTAGGGTGACTCACATGTTCCTGATTTGTCAATCTATTACCATAACCATGCACTTAACATTCAATACACTATCATCAATTAGAAAAACAAAACAAACTGTGCTATCTCAGATGGAGACATTTAGACAGAGAGACATAAGGAGACTAACATCCAATTTCCTAAATAAAGGAAACCTCCTTATTCTCACAAGCACTTCCCTGGTCCAACCCCAACAAAGAGACGTAGGGGCTTACAGCTCATTCTCCTCTAGAACAAACTGTCAGTAGAATGAAAACCAAAGATGGTTCACTAACATTACGGAGGAGATAACGATTTTCCCAGGGGGATTATAACCACTGGTCTAATTAAATTAAAATGCTACAGACAGTGACATCGGTGCATTCAAGTGTTGTCGGGGGATAAACTGCCAGTGGAGGTCAATGAAATGACTGAAACTGCCGTGATGTGGTTACATTATTATTTGGATGCTGAAACAAAACAAAACGAAACGAAACAAAACAAAACAGGCTGCTCTCAAATTTGCAGACACAACCTATCAAACCAACCGGCAGATCAAGAAGGAAGCCCTGCCAGTCCCAAGGCCGACTGTGATACTGCTGGGAAGGAGGGGGAGGCGGGGCGAGGAGGAGCTGCACGGAGCCCTGAAAAGAGAAAATGAGGCTAAAAATAGTTTTAGGCAAGGAGTGACATGTAAATTTTACTAATCAGTATAGAAATCTTCTAAGAAAAAATGTAATGGAATATAGAACAGGGTTGCTGTAAGCACAACTACTGAAACCAGAATAAGTTCTATTCCCTCTTCATTCCTTCCCCAACCATGAAGGGCCAAGGAAGGGCACCAATCTAATGTTGCTCATTTTAAACCAAGTGCTTAGGCATCTGTGACTACACATGCAGAACAACACTATATGCTGACTAGAAACATGGCATTTATTCCCCACCCCACACAAGACCCCATGGTTGTATATTATGAAGAGTCGAAAAAAAATTACTAAAAAAAAAAACAAAACCCTTTCCTATTCAAAATTTTTCAATATAGAGCTTCCTATTCAAAATCAATCAAATCCTGAGGATCCCCCTAGTGTACTTACGCATTTGTTTTTATACCATTAACTCTTTGAAAAGGCTGAAAGGTTAAGAAACTTAGAGCCTATTGCTAATAAAATGTTAACTTTCCAGAAATAAAGAACAAGCATTTCTGGAATTGAGAAAACCAAAAAGGGTGTTTCGCTGTGCTTGCTAAATGATGGCCTGCAGGTAATTTCAAAGATTCCTCTACCGCAGAGCTGAGTTGTCCTTGGTTTAGGATCTCTTTCAGAAAGAGTCCCATCTCCTTTATAAATGCCAGGATTTCCCCAGCAACGGTTTCTGAAGCCTGCGTAAAGTCCTGAGGAGATGAGTGTCATGGGAACAAAGTGGGGACTGTGACCATTTCCTGGGGAACTCTAGCAAACATGCCACCGGTGCCCTTTGCATCCTGCAGCTCTTTGGTGTCCCATCATTGCGCTGAAATTCCGCAACCCAGGCAAGATGGAGAACAGCAGGCACCAGAGACACACTGGTCACGTAGGTAATACTCAGTATTTTGAGGGAAGGACTCTTTTCCACCCTGAAGGTTTTTAGGAAAGTTGATGCTTGTACGGTAGTTGTTTTCTGTACACTGAACAGAAGAATCCCTCCTATTGGAAGCTACTTACTGAGATTTGCGAAGCTGAGGTCTGAGTACACATTTATTTTAAGTATGCTCTTCTGGCTGCAAAATGGCTTAAGGTGGTGGCTTTGGCTTTCTTTAATTAAGCTTTCATTAACAAGCAAAAGTGACACATCACCAAAAAATGTGCAAGACTGAAATCTGAACTGCACAGTTTACAGTTTTCTAGGTTTTTGGCATCATGGATACAAATAGACATACACAGAAACCTAAACTCTCGAATGTCGATTTTCTTTACTTGAAAAACTACATTGACTATTTTGTTTACCCCAAAACTTAGCAAGATGAACTTAAAGAACATGAGAAAAGATGCAACTGTTGGTCTTTTCATAAGATACATTGTACAGACAGTCACAGACCATGGCATTTTTGGCATCTCCCCAGAAATGGTACACCTTAGGTTCTGGGATATACCTTAGGACGTGAGGTATTCAAGTATGAATTCTGGAGTAGAAAACCAGTTCCATCAAATCCCGAGAGAAGCTGCAGCGCTATCATCCCGTCCCACAGAGGCCCAAGAAGACATCTACACC